TTTCTTGTAATATTTATGAAATAATCTTACCCTTTTAGTTTGTCTGGAAATACATGGAAAAAGCAAAGTAGGTTAGGAGCCATGCATCTGGAGAGCAGACAAAGGATTTCAGCCACAGGGGTCATGGAGAGAGTGTGCTGGGCTCAGACCTGTGCCTTTTCTCAAACAAGAAGTTGCACATTAAGCCATCAGGGAACAGGCAGACAAACAAAATGAGGTGTCTTCCTGTGTGATAAAATTATGGAGTTTGCCATGTCAAAGTGAGCTAGGGTGTAGGATGTTAGCCATGCAAAAATTCCACATTTAAGGAAAAACTGAAGAAATTTGTGAAACAAAAATCTACTGTGGTTTATTCCAGGAGGGGAAAAAATTCTTTGTAATTCCTTGAGTTTCAAACTGGACTTTAGGAGAAATTTCTGGTAAAGTATTATTTTATGGTTGTTGGACTCTTACACTGATATTTTTAAGTCTCAGCAAATATGGCTGTTCTTATACTTTTCATTATATTTTTATGACGTCTATGAAACGTGCTTTTAAAATAGTACTCAAAGCATTTATTGCTCCATCAAGCTTCTTCGGTGTAAGTGCCTGTAGAAGCCAAACAGCTCAGAAGTGACATTGCAGCACAGTTGTTTTATCCATTTACAAAAAATTTAAAAATGCCAACATTTTGTTTCCCTTTACAGCCTTTTTTTTTTTTTTAATGCAGTTTTACATATATTCTGGTGCTTTGTATTTCATATTGAACCTTAAATATATTTATCACCTGTATCCTTTCTGGCCTAATATCTTTGAATGAAAAATAATTTTTGTTGCCTTGTCCTGTTGTTTTGAATGACAAATAAGTTCTTGTTTTCCCTGCAGACAGACTGTCTTTAAGTCACTAATCCACCTTATCAATAACACAGGCATCTTATCAGAAAATGCTAAATGTTTTCTTAGCCTGAGTTATGCAAACTTCTTTCTTCAGTGTGTCTGCCCTCCAAAAATTGTTATGCAGAGCATGTGTTTTAGACTTTAGTGTAGGGTATTTCCAGGGTGGAACAAGGCTTTTCAGAGTTTGAAGCAAACGTGTAGAAGTAAATCACCATGATAAGTTGTTGCTGTATTTCGTGATTAGGCTATATTCACAAAGAATGGCTTCAATAGTTTTTTCAAAGACTGTTCTTTAAAGACTGATCACCAGTCTGTGGTATCCTTTTGGAAATTATTTGTTTTTATTGTGTGGAATTGCTTGAAATATTTTGAAACTAGACACATAAATGTTTCATTAAATACTATGATCTTATGACATTCCTTTACTATTCTAAATCCCATATCTATTTTAATGACTTTTTCTGTTTCAATAAATTAAGAGAATGGGTATCAAGTTCAGTAAACAAGTCCTAACAGCTGATTAAGATGCATCAGAAAAAAATACTACAATTCTCAAGATTGATCCTGTGCAATGAAGATTTATATCATTTTTATATGCTAAGTTCAAGGTCATTTGCTTCAATGAAATATGTCCTTTTACCTTATTTCCATGCTAACAAAGGTAATCTCTACTGTCTGTGTAACAAGGGAAATTATACTGCACTGAATAGAAAGAAAATGTTGTTGGAGTTATAATATCAGAAATGGTTTTTAACTTGTTTATGACTCGTAGATTTGGGGCTCATTTATACTCTATTTATGTCACTTTGACTACAGAGATTACCTTTCAAAGGGAAGCAAAAGTAATTTTAAGGTCCATTTAAACCCAAAGTAGGACAGAGTGTTTTCTGAATAAAGATGGCACTGTTTATGTTTAGTATAAGCTGTTCAGAACCCTCTTTCTCCTACTGATATTTGTACATTATCAAATCCTATTCCCCTAAGAGAACATGTAGTAAAGTAGGTGTTAGTGTTGAGATTTTTTTTTATATTTTTCCTTGATTACATAATGCCATTTTTACTTTCACCCTTTATTTGGGCCAGACTGTACTTTCCTTATTTTTAACTTTTCAATTCCCTTTGTTCTTCTATGATATTTTTAAGAAACCTTTCTTTTCCAGTTGAGCATATAACGTGATGTTTTAGAAAATAAACATCTGAAGGTCTCTGCCTTGGTCCCTTTCTTGCTCACTGCATGCATTCATTATGTAACTTCATATACCAGGGTCTTGTGAAGTTTTTTTGCCTGGTTTTGTCTAGGGAGGTGTGTGTAGTTCTGAGCAGGTGACAGGGCTGAGGGAGACTTTCCTTATTTGCACAAGTGACCTGATCCCAGCCTGTATCCTCGTTTTCTGAAACAAGCACTTCCCTCCTTCACTCACACTTGCTGAACTGCCTTCTTTGACAGCTTTTTTTCACAAATTGTCCAGAGTTCTGTTTCTCTGTTCCCATGAAAACCCTTTCCACCCCTGCTTTCCACTCCTTTTAAACTGTTCCTAATGACCAGCTATTACTGCAGGTGTTTCATGCTTTTTGGCATTTTTCAGCTCTATCAGCTCTGCCTGTCATTCCTTTTCTTCTCATTTTTGTCTTTCTTGGCTTTTAATGACTCCATCCTCTCCCAGATTTCCCCAAATCTCTGCAGCACCTACTCAGCTACATCAACTGGAAATCCTCCTGCTTTGTTCAAGCATCTTTCTGTCCTGTCTTGATTTCTTTCTTGTTCATTTCACACCTTCCTTGTGAGATGCCTCATCTGTGTATGGGTGTGCTTCTAGTGGGTTTTATTTGTTATTCTCTGAGTTACCTCCCAGCTGAATCTGGTACCTTCACTGAGAGCACTGGTCAGTACTGTGATGTAAAATCCAGCTGGTCTGTTGAAATTGTCTGACTTGTGCTGACACTGCCTGGGAAGGAGCAGAGCACTTGAGCAGGTTTTGTCTGAGTCCCATGCAAGGAGCTGCAGCACCGACTTCCAGTAAGAGAAATCTCTGCCAGCTCCTACCTGGGACTGGTTCTGGTGCTGTGGAAGTGTTTTCCCTCTTTGGTTCACTATAAGAGTTCTTGACTGGATGAAAATACACAATGCAATTCAATTTGAAAAGCTGATTCTGAATTTTTGGTGACTACTATTAGACCAAAACAGACAGGTCTTGTGATTTTTTGCTTTCTCTTCAAAGGCATAGCTGTACTTCTTGTTTTCTCTCTTTCATCATGGGGTACTCTGTTGGAAATTTTCCTATTATTCTACTTCAGAGTAGTTCTGACTTAAAAATTCATGCAGCTGTAATTACTCAATCTGTTGCTCAGCACAGTGCAGCTGACTCCACTGTATGAAGAACTGCTTTAGAAAAAGGTGTTCTAGAAATTTGGCATAAAATTATTTTGTTTTTAAATATAATATGAATAATTGTATATTCCAATTTTTCTTTCAAAGGGGGAATCTCCATTTAGTGCATTTGAAAATTATTTAAATGTTGTCAAAAGAGAAAAGGACAGATATCTTTAAAGCCATTTCTTCCTTTACATATCGTAGCTTTTTTATGTGTGAGCAAGAAAATTTGTTATTTGTTGCTGTAATTGTTCTCCAATGTCAACCTCACCCCATGCAGATTATCAAGTCAAGACTCCCCAATTTACCTGGGTGGAGTTTTACATACTGATTTGTTGCTACGCGAGGCAAACCTTTTAAGCAAATTTTACTGGGTTTTTTGTTTTTTTCAGGTGAAATGCATGGTGTCACTATCACATATTTCATTATTTATTATGTTTTAATATTACCTTTTCAAGATTCTAATTTTACAATAGTATTGAAGCCTTGATTGTTTCAAACAGACTCTGTGTAGCCTCACGAGTCAAGAGTGATGGAACCTTTTGGTGACCTGGGATCAATAGCTGCAAGCCCATGGAAAGCACAGAGCACTGAAGTGGGATATGTGTCTTTTGAGCTTGTCTTCATACTGCCCTGAGGCCTTGTTGATTCACTCATAATCTTGGAAAATTTAAATAGGTGTTTAAATTACATAATCCTTCAGCAAATATTCATTTGGTCAAAAGAAAAAAAAAGATCCATCAAAATTTATAAGGGAATTTATTTCCTCTTTTGAAAAGAAGATGAACACAGAGATTGTTCATAGGCCTTGGTATTCCCATCCCCTGGAAGTTTGGAACTTTGCTTGGTTTTCTAGATATTACAAAAAAAGAAATGTTTTCTAGCCACTGCTATTATCTTAGGAAATAGGATCAGCTAAGAGTTTTAACAGACAAAGAACTTGAGATCTATTCTTTACTATGCTATTCTATAATATACTGCTTAATAATTGCTAAAATACTTATTCAAGCTATATTTGTGGCTCCATGTAGAGATATGAAGCAGAAGAGAGGGAAATGGACTTTGAAAAGGGAAGTACCTCTCTTCTGCTCAGGAACAGTTATGTGGAATTTGTTCAAAAGCCAAGTGAATTTAAAAGTCATATACAGAGAGGTAATTATTTCCCTGAAAATATTTGTGTGCTCTGAAATGAAATTGATTTTAGCAAATACATAAAACATGTAACTAAATTTGGTAATCTTTAAACTGCAACTCAGTCTGGGTTTCACTTCACTTTGGAATTATCAGTAATTTTCTTACACATTCCAATTTTTGTATGCAACATATTTTTGTCTTAAAACATACACCATTTCCCTCCTTGCTGAATGACTCCAGTAATTACAAAACCATCTAATTGATCTTTTTATGTTGTTTACTGGCTTCTTTGGTGGAACAGACAAGCATTTTTTTATGACTTCTAAATTATTTTATTATTTTAGGTTTCTGTAAGAAAAAACTTGGTCTTCTGCTTCAAAGGGACCTCATTTAAGCTGATGCCTCAAGTTTCACCTTGCATGCATTCTTGTCTATGGATTTTTCAACTGTCCTGTAGCTGCATATAAGTAGTTTGTGTTTCTGGAGGTTTTTTCAATCTATTATTTGTGTTTACAAATTATGTCTTCAGCATTGAAGGCTCTGCAGAAAACCAGGAAGTGTTGATTTCTGCATACATTACATTTCTCCCTCCCTGTGTTTTTATTCCTTGTTGTTCCAGTCAGTGTGCTGAAGCATGACAAGAGCTCCAACTCGGCAAACTTCCAAGATGTGGAGGATACGCCTGACAGATGTGTCTTGGAAGAGTCTGAGAGTCCAGGTGAGAGGCATTTTAAGACAGCCACCAAGTATCAAGTGATAAATCTGGCACAGCTTTTGGGTCTGTAAAAAAAGCACATTGTAATGCTGTTTCCTTTTTAGCAGCTGCAATGTCAAATTAATGGTCACCTCCAGGGGTCACAGTGTGGAGCTGTTATCCTTTCCTCTTTCATCAGGAATTCAGGTCTTAGAAAGGATAAAGGCTTTATGACCAAAAAGAAAGCTGACACTACTAGTTCATTATAATTACTTTTGGACTACACTGCTTACTTAATATATGTACAATGTCTGACCCTTTGAAGGTGGCGTGAGATTATGAAAAATTAGAAGTACTGTATATTCTGCAGCTGAATGCAGCAGCGGACGCTCAAACACCGTATCTCTGGAGGAAAGAAAATTGGTGGCATTAAATAGCTTGATTCTTTCCTTTAAATCAGCTCACAATCATTATTTCATTTTAATGACTCTTAACATTGATTCAGCTAAATACAGGAACATCCATAAAGTGCATCCTTTTTGGTAACCGAAAGATTTATCTTCATGTAGTTTCATTATCTTTCTCGTTATGGAACATCTACGAAATTTATTAAATGAATCCCAAAAGGAAACAATTAAATATAAATTGTATCCAGTCACAGCTGATTAAAAACATTCTATGCGACTAAATACTAAGATCTTTTAAGTGAACTGTGAGCTTGACCCATATACACCACACATAACCTACACATAGTCCTCATTAGTGAAAGAGTTAAACATCTTTCTTCACTTGGTATTTTCCTTCCTGCTTTATCTGGTTTCTCTGTACCCTCCTGCATCTTTGTGTGCTGATCCGTGTATCATATTTTTGATTCATCGTCTCTGCGGCCTGTCAGCTTAGTTAAGAGATTTCCAAATCTTGCAGGCTGTGCTGACAGGGGGCAGCTGCCAACAGTCCCCTGATCCTTCCCCAAGGAACACTGCTGAGATTTAATTTTCAGTCAAAGGGTGCAGTCTGAAATCCATGTCAGGTCCCCTAAGTCATCTCAGAACCCGGATAGGACCCATGTCTGGGGGATTATATTTCAGCACACTCCACTCTTCCAAGATTCCTTGGGAGTTCAACTACTGTCATATACCTGATTTGAACTACATTCCCTTTTCATCTTTTCCAGAGAAATGAGCACCAGTGTATGTTACAATAATTGAAACCAATGAATTGTAAATCTCTATTCATTTTAAAGCCACATAGACTTGGACTCAATGTTGTCCAGCAGAAACCAGCATGAGATTTAGAAATAAATAGATAATTTACTCAGAAAGGAGCCAGGTTTGACAATCTGTGGTGTTTAGCATCTCCTTCAGAAACCGTCTGTAGTCTCTTCAGCAGAAATTATGAGCCAAAATATGGATTGTCCAAGATTTGATCAGTTTTGAAGTGAGAAAGAATTAAAGCAAGGTGTCACTACAGTGTTTGGGAGATAATTAATGTACCTTAAAGACAACACTAATTTTAGCCTTAAATTAATTCTCTCTGGCAAAGTGTACCTGTTTGGATGGGAACTTACATATCCAATTCTGCACACTGCATATCTATATGAAGTAATAGGAAGAATAAAAGCCTGTCAGTAGGTGAATATTGACTGGCAAAAATACATGTTGATAAAGCATCCAAACTTAAAAACTGAGTTCCAATCGGTCCATCTGACATCATTAAACTAGTAATAAACAATGAATTACTCTAGCTTTTGTTTCTGTCCATTCCTGCATTTTAAGACATCTTGTCTTATAGGTCTGAAAACCTCAGGAGATTTCACTACTGGTCTCACTGCTTTCCACTGAGAATTTGTGGCTTGGTTGTCATGGAGACATCGTATTTCTCCAAGAATTGCTCATATTGATCCGTGGACAGGCGTAAATGGCCAGGCGAATGTGAGGAGTAAAGGGGGTTGGGCAGTACTATAAAATGACCAGAGGTTATGGGTCGGAAATAAGCTCATAGCAAACACTTAGGTAAAGAGAAAGAAACAGTTTCATTTTGTTTCAGGATTTCGTTTTTGCACTTTATGCCATTGTCTTCTTTCACTATAGACTGAAAGAAACTTGTTAGTCACTTGTCATGTCAGATCTTTGGTGCTTGTCCTGACACAGCTGTCAGCCTTCCAGCTCTGTGCAGTTCAGGGACACACAACAAAGAGCTAGGAACATGAATTATTTATTGCTCCTTGTGCGGATGAAATTCTGTGATAAGAAATTAAGACACTTCTGACAGAAGTGCTTGTTTGAAAGGAAAGATTTGGTAACACAATACATTTACTTAAAGCTTACCATTTACTTTTAGTAGCAAACATTGAAACAATAATATGACATTCAGTTGGCTATGATGAGTCAGCATTTGATTTGGTGAAACCTGTGACTTAAGAGTCTCTCTCACACATATTTAAAGTCTGGGCAAACTTGCAAACTTAATTTATAAGTTTTTATTAATAAATCTATAAAAATCTCTTTTGCTTCGCTTATCAGATATTGTCATAGTTGCAAAAATGATGTTAAGAAATATATTTATTTTATTATCTCTTCTGAAGAAGTAAAGGTGAAAATATGGCAATATACCTGGAAGGAATTCCAGCTATTCCTAGAAAGTGTTCTTTATTGCAACTTCTACCAGATTCAGGAAGGCTGCAGAGCAGCCATTAACACATCTATCTATCTGTACATTGTGGTTTTTGCTGGTGAAAGGTGCAGTCTCTTTCCTTGACATTAGAATGAGCTTTATTTTCAAAGTGATATTTTTTTTCAAAAATCACATTAAACTTACTCTGTTTTACTTTCACATATTCTGTGTCTGCACATGTTCTCACTGCTCTGCGTGTGGGCCTCCAGCAATTGTAGGAGGCAGATACTCAGATGAATAGCAGGAATCCATTTGACTACCCAAGACACCAATCCAAGATTTACCTGTGATTTCTTGTGTTTAATGTGTGATCTGAACTACTCTCAGATAGGTAATGAAACCCCTCAACCTGCACTTTTCTCTTGGATAATTCACAGTAAACACTTTTCACAAGTGATGGACACAGGTAAATATCAGACTGCAGTTTCTTGTCTAAGTGAAATAGATTTTAGTTTCTCCCTTCATGTGGCTACAGGCTGCCATTATCTGTGATAGTGGCTCATGTCTATTTTAGGCCCCACACAGAGGAGATGCTGGGCTTCTCTCCCAGATGCCTAATAGTAGGTTTATCACTGCCATTTGCTGAGGCACATGCTGAGGACTACTCCTGTTTGACATGCAAAGCCTTGGCTTTTCAAACTTGTCTCTGCTCTGGCCTTGAATGTAATAATCAGATAAGAATTGCAACAGTTTTCTGTAGAACTTGACTTTTAATCATATCAATCTCCCATGCAGAATGCACTATCCCTTAAAGTGACCCTTTCTTTAAATAAATATTCCTAACAGTTTTTCATTTTACCAGACAAATTTTCCACATTTAAGGAAACTGGAAAAGAAGCTGAAAATGAGTGCCCATGGATGTGTTAGTTAGACTTCTAGGTCTGAGTTTTCTTGTACAAATAGTGGTGGAAAATTTACATCCCCAGATGCAGATCATCTTGTCCAAAGGGAGTTGCTTGAAATGGTTCCTAAGGGGATTGAAAATGCTCTGAATCTTTTTAGTCAAAATCTAAGAGGGTTGTAGTGGGGCTAAACACAGCTTGAGGTGTCTTAGCTTTCATATGTGGGGCAGTCTCACTAGGGAGGGTTCTGCAAGTGCAGCTCCTATGGGGAAAAAGGAATAGACTTGAACTGAAATCACAAGAATCACCACGTAGACACAGATGCTTCTTCCCTCTTATAGTCCCCAAAAGACACGTTGCAGTAGAGTAGGAAATAGACTATTACTTCACTTGGAAATAGAGGGAAACTGAGCCTCTATAATGGGAGATTGAATTGGAAGCTGTAGATGGAAAGTACAGTGTTTTCCATCTTTTGGATAGAAAGCACAAAAATGGTAAAACCCCTATATATTTATGGCCTTAGGTATCAGACAGCCTCTGCCTGAGTCTCTGCCTGGTCCCTTCTGCAGCTCATGATCTCTCCTGTCCCTTCATTCCAAAACCATTGCACATATTAAATTTTCTTTCTCTTCAATTTTTCACTTTTCAGGACAGAATGTAATTCTGGGTGCATAACAGATAATAGGGATATCCAAGCAGTTTTCACAGTCTTGCTTAATTGCTTGTCCTATTTAGAGACCTTGGCACAGAGATGGGAAAGGTCTCTGACTGTCCCTGAAATATAGTGTGTGGGAGGCAGAACTGTAGCAAATAGAAATAAAAATGTAAGAAGAACAGAAGATTCTTATTAGCTACACTCTGCTTAAAAATACAGCACTAGAAGTGTGACTATCTTGTTATCAGGCAAGTTATAATTACTGCATCAAATACTCACCAGCTCCAAGTCCCATCCACCGAAGGGTGGTTTTAAAATCAGCATTGTCTCACCTCTATGGCTGTTGATCAGAACACAGGCAGAATGGAAAAGGAAATATTCTGTAAATTTTCAGGTACAAAGCACTCTAGAAAATACTGATTTTCTGTGCTTGCATCCTCATGGAAAGCAGGAGGCAGTAAATGAGGACTGACCTGGGAATGGGATGCTGGAGGCTGTTGCTTGTGAGGATGCATGAAGCAGGATGAAGATGCAATGTAGGGGCAGCCCACTGGTCACAGGCATTGATGGCCCAGGGACTGTTCATAAATTGTCAGTGCTCAGGAATATTCCAGAAAGAAGTTCTGGAATTTCCAGTGTAGGCATGGATGTATTAATTATAATTTCACTGCAGTAGATGTAGTGCCATGTTCTACCAGTGTTCTGGGTTACTAGAATCAAGACTCATATGTTTTGGTTTGATTTGTGATTTTTTTGTTTGCTTTTGGTTTTGTTTTTTAATAGCAAATTAAACTATAAAATTAGAAGATTGCCTAATAGTCATCAAGAAAATGCATATGTCTCTGTCTATGATACAGATAGACAGAAAGGTCATAGATAATATAATAAATTTACAAAATATTCATTGTACTGCAATAAAATAATGTGTACTGCTTTCTCTGTGTTCATATACTCATGAAAAGTGTGGTGGTACCTGTTTGAGCAGTATTTCTAATGCAAGTAACATTTAAAATTCAGGTTGTAAATATTACTGTACATCAAATTAAAAGAAAACATGAAGATCAAAATTGATGATTGAAAACTTTTCTATGGATTTTAAAATGCCTTGACAGGAAATATAACATTACTTCTGCTTACAGCTATGATTATTATTGTATGATTATTTTCTGCTAAGAGAAAATATATATTATTTGACAGTTATTTTTGTAGAGGAAACATAAAACCCTATTAATTTAAAAGAGGAATTATCTTTTTGCTGATCCACTGGAGCACCTTCCTTTAAAACAAAAGAAAGGAAGAAGCAGAAATCAGTACAGGGAAAGAGTTTTGAGGAATGCCATAAATTCTCTTGAGCTGTTTTGGGTTCCATACTGCTTCCTGTACTTCTGGAAGTAGATTTCTGGACCTTTTAACACTATTATGAGGGTGCTGAAAGTTTTTATTCTGTTACAAAAATTATAGAGTTTGTTACTCTATAAAAATACTGTAAATAACGTATTTTAGTAACGAAGTCTCAGCTATTGCTTCATATTGTAAAATAACTAAGCCTCAGATTGTGAATCAGTAAGAAACTGTGCATTTCTTTTCCAGATGACATGAAGCCACATCCCTGGATATCTAAGGTGTGCTCCTGTAAGGTGTGCTAGAACAAGCCTGTTGAGATGAAAGAATTGGAAGATGTAGAAGGACAGCCCAAAACAGGACATATATGGTGTGGTGGACATGAAATCGCTTTTTGGATTTATCACAGTACCTTTAACAATTCATTTTCAGAAGAAATACCTTCCATAAGACCAACTTATTTTGGCTGATTTATTGGCTTCAATTCACACTTCCATTACTAATAGATTTACATGTATTCAACTGAATTTGAGCATTTTGTAGTAGAAAATATTAACTCTTCATTTTTAGATAGCATTCAGTTGTTTATGTAGTGATCTTTACAACTTTGATTGCCATTAACAATTATATCAATTTTAGTATTGTTTTACATGCATCAAATTTAAATTTTTCTCTCTCCTTCTTTCTTAATTTTTTTACCAATAACATTTCAACACTGAGTAAAACCAAATGCATTTCAAATAATTTCCTGTTTTCACTAAAAAGAGAAATTCACAATTTGAATTAAACATGAAAAATTTAGAAATAACTAAAATACAAAGAATGATCTGTACACATTAGAGAATAGGAAATTGATAACAAATCTGGTCATGTCTAGAATGCAAATTTTCCATTTCTCTAAATACTACCATTACCATCGTCTGTAAAAATGCAGTACCAGTATGGAACTGGAGAAGCCCATTGGGGTCCTCTTCTGAAATTATGTACTTCATTGAATATCAATTGGTTTTCATTGGAAAAAGCAGCTATATCTTTTTTACTTTTTTTTCTCCTAAAAAAAAAATATTGTTATATTTGTAGAATATATGTGGCTGATTAGACCCATTTATCACCTTCTATCCTGTGGGACTTAAGCTGGTTTGTCACATAATGGCTGCTCAGAGCAGTAAGCTCACTTTCTTTGTTGCCAATAGTTGAAGTGCTACTCAAGGCAAAGGATCTTCAGGATGTTCCTTGTGGATCTGGACCTTATGGTGGAAATCCTGGTCTGAGTTATCCCTTCTAATTGTCACATCAGCCATAAGATCCCTTAACCAGGAGAGTCAATGTTTCTTCAATGTGAAAAGATTCTCTGGCAATGAATCTCATTTTTTCCTTGTGGGGCTGCAGGAGTGATAAAACCTGGTTTTTGTTGCTACAATATAGTTTGAATGAAGCAGATGTGAAAGCTTCTTCCTTCTGTTTTTTTATATCCTGTAAGTCCATGTCCTGCAGTGCAGTGTATGATCTTCTGACACACTGGGTGGTGGAAGGGCATTGTGAGAAGCAACCCAGTTTTTATTCAGCTAAAGAATATGTAATTCAACTTGGCTGCAATCCAGAGAAGATAAAGATAATTAATGCTATTTTTTCTGTGACTGTGAATACCATGAAGAAAAATGACTTATTTGGGCAGAAAAGTCAATGGTTTTAACACATTTGGTATTTTTCAGAAACAACTTTCCTTGTTCATAGAAGGAGTTTTCCTCTCTAAAATGTATCTTTTGTTCATATGTGGTAGTATTTGAATTATGGTGACTGAATATTGAGTGCTACGGCTTCATTCTTGCATTTCTTATGCTGGATGTGTGGAATATTATCATTGATGTATTTATACTTGCACTCCACAACTGAGAGCAGAACATGTCTTTAGCTGACATATATCCTCCTCTTAACTTTTGTGGCTGAATGAGACTTGCAAACATCAAGAAGGTAAAAAGAACCTTGCAGAGAGTAGAACAAATTGCAAACAAAGGATGGACCCGTCTTCCTCCTTTGCTCCTCTTCCATATAAACAACCACATCCAGTTGTTGCAGCAGTCTCTTCCATGGACATTAAAGAGTCTGTTCACAAGAGCCATCACTGCTTTGCATCAGCATCTACTCACTTGGGCCAGGATAACAAATTTTTTGAAAACCCTTTCATCTAGATATTTCAGAAATGGGTGTGTTCAAGGAGGTCTCATAGCTCAAGGAATTGGCACTGTCCATAACACCCAGTACTGCTGTAGTAGCAATTACATTTGTGCAACATGATATTTGATTGCTTGTCTTTAATTCTGCAAAGCAGTGCACATCAGCAGCCTGCCAATACAGCCAGCCCGCTGGAATGGTTTGTGCAGTGATGATCGGTGTTTGGCACATGCTTGTGCGTGCTTTGTGCTAATTATCATTACAGGATCAGTAAGGTAAAGCAGGAACTTTTTTATTAGGTACATTTATTTCCCAGTAAAGCAAATATATTCCCCTTGTCTTCTGGATGTCTTTCAAACAACCAACTTTATTATATGTGCTCACAATGAACTCAGAAAAATCTTTTTTGCAAGAAAGTGACAATTTCAGAGCTGAATACACAAATACAGATTAACTTTCTGTGATAGCTTCTTGTAAGCCAAACTGAAGAAGCATTTTGTAGGATTGTGGTCTGATGTATCACTGCATTCATGCTAAAGGAGATGGAGTTTACAACAAAGTCCCAAGGCAATTAAGAATACCTTTTTCTATTGTGTTACTCTGAGGAATCCTGTCAAAAGGAATAGTAGGCTAATATTTTTGAGTAGTTGTTTAAACTTTAAATATGGGGTAAAAGCTTCATGAATACCTAAACTGTTTAAGGAATTTGGTGTTTTGGTTTGGCTTGTATTTTTTCCCATACAGAAGTCACAGGCTCCAATGACCTGTACAGTTCAAGGTATGGTTTCACAGTCAGGGTGATTTTTCCCCACTCCACCCTCAGACTTCTGTGTCTCTTCATTTATGTTTGCACTACTGCTTGTGTGCCCAGGCTGTGCCAGGGCAAGCACTGGCCTCAGTGCAAAGACCAGAGGAGGAACGAGCAATCCAGAGTGGAAATGTGGGACAGTTCACACAAAAATGAGCATGAAGTTGAAGTTTAGGGTGATATGTGCAAGGTTCTTACTTAAACCTAGACTTTTGGCTTTCAAATCCTATAAGCATTTTTTACATTACATGCATAGTTCATTATATTATTTTTTTTTAATTGAAAGGCACTTATTGCTTTAGTGTAAGACAAAATCAAAACTCTTCAGCACCTCTTTTATTTGTGAGATTTTGAGTTTTCCAAATAATTCACACTTGGTCTGACTGGTCATACTGAATGGTCACTAACTCTAGATTTCTGTCTGGAAACCTCCCTAAAGTTTGAACTGTTCATTTATGTCTCCAAATCCAAACATTATATTTTGAAATCTCTTGTGCCATATATGTATTTTAAATTTGATCATTGTAATAAACTGCTTCTGTTTTGGGGTTGTATTTTGTGTAGTAATGCCTTTCCCTAATCCAAAGCACATTGGCATGGGACTTAATGAGATTCAGTGTTTGAAACAAAGTGACACTTTCACAAAACCACTATGTAATGGGGCTCCAAACAGCAGCAGCTTAGCAAGGGAAATGGTTTTGTAAATCTGACTGAGCTGAAGCATTGAAAATTCAGAAAAGAAGGGGACAGTTCAGTAGGCAGCATTACCTCTGCCCAGGATTTTACTCCTTTTGAAAGAACAAGTTCTCTGAAGGCAGACAGGACAGTGAACTCCAGCACAAATCCCAGAGCTATGTTGAATAGCATTGCATCCACATCTGTGAGGACTAAGTCCTGCTTCCTGAAATGGATATTTCTGCTGGATTTTGTTTGCCATGCTTCTTGGATGAGAAAAGGATGCAGAGGAATTTCAAGGACTGGTTTTCCCCTTTTTCCCTCCTCATTGAATATGTAGACTGAACTGCTAGACAAAGATTTAGCACTACTCTTAGCATTTGAATTGGGGTATCATTTGAATTTATAGATCCGCAAACTGAAAATGCATCTATTTTACTTTTGGAGAAGTAGTTCTGAACTTGAATGCAACATAAAATTCACACAATAACCCAAGATTGTCTTACTGGGGCCCATGGGAAGTTTGTTTCTTGAATGACACCTGCTGGAAAGTCTAAAGTGTGTCTGAGAGCTGTGCTGTGGGACAAAGGCACGTCACAGCAAGAACACCTTTCTTCCCTGTCTTCTGATGGATGTGGCTGTGATGGGTCAGTACAAACAGAGCTGCCAAGGTGAAGCACTGCGAGTTGCTAAACAATGTCGAAGATTATGAAACTTAGCAAATATCTGCGAAGATTTTTAGAGAAAGCTGCATTTGAGAAAATTTCTAAGCAGTACAAATTTAATTACATTTATCTTTTTCTTTCATGTATTTTAAGAAGGTTTAACTTCAGAGTACAGAGTTCTGCTGCTTGAATTTACATTGTGCAGTGCAAATATAGCAATAAAAACCATGTTTCTTCCTCTGCAATACTCTCAATATGACAGTTGTGAAAAATAGCCTCTCTGGAGTAAGTAGCATATGTAAGTAGTATATGTTGTTTCATTTAGTATCTTAGTGACTCCAGTTTTACATCAACTGGAAGATTTTCTTTCTTGTTTTTGGGGTTTTTTTTGGCATTTGAAAACATAATACTCATCAGAAAAATATTAATATCCAAAACTAGTGAAATAGTGATATTTTCCTTATTTATTCTTAAATTTTATCTAAATAATGTGTGATCTTTTTGATAATAAGGATGTGGGGAAATCATATCCAAAATCATGAATTTCCCACACAGAAACTGAAGGTAGTAAAAGATTCTGTTCAGTTTCAGATCTGTATTTTCTATCATCATACAGATCTGAAGACTTATAACTCTGACCAGTAAATGTAACATACAGATTTTTGTTGTTTGTTTTGGTTTATAGTCTTCCTGCCATGTAGATGGCAGCAGCACTCAAGCCTTGAAATTCACTCCAGCTTTTTCTTCAGTTTGTTCAAAAAAAACATGTTTAAGAATATTATTGCTGAGACAGAACTGAGAGCCTGATTAAAGATGGATATCAGTTTAGTAACATATGCCTCTAAAGAAGCTTTAATCTTCATAATATCAGTGTTCAAAAGACAGTAAGTCATAGCTGTGTGTATTAGTATAATTGCCACTATTATTTTTTTCTACATTTTGACTTTTTTTCCCCTGTATATTTAATTTCTAGAATTCTTCCCATTGCACTAGGTTGCAAGACAAACAGAAAGTTCAAAATTGTATTTCCTTGCGGAATGAGCCGCAGCCTGGGCAGGAAAGCTGTTGACTGTGGACATCCTTGTCAAAGATACAAAAAGAAAGGACAGATAAAGGTAGTGGGATACACAGTGTAGGATTTTGTGCTATGGGTTTTACTAATTGCAGTGCTTTATAGGAAGTATCATGAATTATCTGGAATAAACTGTTTTGAGGGTCCAAATATCTTCATCTCTGCATAGTGTAGAACTGTCTGCACTGGCATTTACTTTGGCCAAGAAGTAGAGAGATTTTGAAAGAGAAGCAGCAAAACTGAGACCCAGAGTCAAAGCTGTCTAGCACTCAGTCTCTGCAGCATCAGCTGAAACCTCAGGGAGACTTTGAGGGATCATCTCCAGGCCCTCAGAGATAAAAGCAGGTGTTACACATGGAACTGTGCACAGAGGGAAAACTAGCACAAGAAAGCATAATGATGGTAGTGCCCTGAACTAGAAAATAAATGCTGTTTAAATGCTGGGGGCAAACAGCAGTGTTACAGTGAGCTGTCATACAAAGTACACCAGCACTAGCTCCCTCAATACCTCTAAATGAGTAGCAACTGAAAGGGAAGATGAAATATCCTATGGACAACGTATCTGATGCCATAGGATCCTGTCTGAGGGTGCATTGGGTGGAAGTTTAATCCACACTGAGTGTGGGATCAGCTAAAGCAACTGGGAAAGTGGGCAGACTGTGGCACTGAGCCATCTCATCAAGCTGCCACAGCTGCAGATTTGGGCAGGTCTGTTCTAACCCTCTGCAGAAGCTGGGAGAGAAAAGGGAACTGATATCCCTGTGATGCCCTTGATCTGTGGAAAGAAATAGAAACTCTTGGCACAGGGGATCATCCTCTGCTTGTCAGGCAGTCTGCAAAGGCCAGGATTCCACATGGGAGGCTCTGTCACCCTGCCTCAGTGGATGGGCTCTGACCAAACAATCCTCTAATGTCTAATGGGGCTATGGTATGGATGTGATACATGTCCTGGAGTGACAGCACTCTTCAACTACTGCTTTAGGAAAAGGATTTACAAAGGGAAAGCAGGAATTCTTGGCTGAGAAAATGTGTAACAACAGTAAAAGTAGATGAGTGATGAGAAAAGAGCAGCAACTGGACATGTGTTGCATCAAGGCACTGGGGCAGCCAGCTTTTGTCTCTCCTACACTTGTTGAGTACAATGCCTTGGACATTGTTAATGGGAAAAGCACTCCTCTTCTTAAATGTCTTCCAGACTAATGCAGGCTGAAAGCAAATATATTCTTGCTGCTTTTAGGATATAGTTTGAAGATTTGATGGGTTTTACTTCTCACTTCATAGCATCCATTAAATCAATCTTAGATCTCATTTCATTGAGCAGATATTTGTCAGAAAGCTGCTTCAATGTCTCTCAAATCCACTATTTTTCCTATATTTTTAAAATTATGCCACTGGTGAAGTAATAAAAAAATATCTTTTCACCTTCCCTCTAGCTCACTGGTAATATACTCAGTGTAGTTATGGGACAGTTCTATGCATTGTAACCAAGGATACATTTAGAATTCATATCAGTGCTGATTATTCATGACCTATAATGAAAATATATTTTAAAAGCTCCTAGGAACTTAAAATAACTATCACAGTGTTAGTGTTATCTCTGTGTAGTGCACTGGAGCAGTTTTGTATAAGAGGAGGTCATGGCATTTTGTAAGTTAATACAAAAGCAAAATTCCATAATAAAAATGTTGGAAGATTTTCATTATCCCTGCCTAAACTTACTAGGCTTAAGCAGCAAAATCACCTGAGTAATATGATATAGAAAATCTTAGAACTAAAGGCTTTCCTTAGACATATTTTTGCAGAATCACTTTGGAGTATAACTGCTCCTTAGGAACTTGAGATTTGCAGCAATAACATTTCAAGCTTTTTAAAGAAGGTGATGAACAATTTTAACAGATTGGATACTGAGAAAATATCAGAGAAGACATCACAAGTAAAGACTCATTTCAGGCACTCTTTCTTATATTTGTTGCTTTGGTTATATGAAGTGACAGCCCAATGAATCACTGGGTGGTCTTTTGGTCTGACAATTTGGGTATTGTCCAAGCAATTAACAGGCAGGCAGCCAGTTGCAGCAGCCAGTGATTAAATTACAGAGGTTCTTTGGTGGCTTCCATAAAGAAATCTCTGGGAAGAGTTAGATGGATCTACCACCTATCATACGATGAGCATGTGTCCTACTCTGTGTATATGTTTATTTGACTAAATATTATTTCATTTGAAAAGAGTCAATATTTGAAAGACATCCCATGCTTTTGGTTTCTCCTGTACTAACCCTGTGTGTGAGGAGAATTTATGATGCTGTTGGAGTAAACCTTAAGCTCTGTGGATTTTTTTGTATGAGATTTTAGAAATGTCTTTCCTCATAAGTCACATGTCTGACCAATTGCATATGTACTTCACAGGTTTCATTCTAGATTTATCATTTTAAAATGCCTTCTCTTGTGTATGTCCTTAAGCACATATAATTGGTGTTTAATTTTTGCTTAGCCCATGGAACATGTAGCATCCTGTGTTACCCCCCTTGATCTATAGATGTTAATCTCTGTTCCTGCTATTTGGCTGTTTTTTCTTTGTGTGTGGGAAAAATCTAGCAGACTTTTTCCAGAATGTTGAGATTTTTCTTCCATGATAGTCAGTGTAGATAGTTAAACTTCCACAGGGAGAGACCAAGGTAAAAGCAGCAAAAGGAAAAATAAGAAGAAATAAACTCTATTATCTAGAGTAAATATACTAGCATGGTCAAATTATGATTAACACTGGCCTCCAAGCTGCACTCTGATCTTTTATGATAATTCTGAACAGTGCTCTGAAGGTGGGTGTAAATGTCAATACTCTAGGAAGACTGGGAATTTCTGGGAATTTGCATAGGATATATAGAGCCATAAATACAATCCTGCAGGTATTGGGCACAGTACTCTCACTGTTGTGGGCATTTAGCTCTCATGTAGCATTTTTAATAAGGGTATGGGACTGTAAAAGGAATCTCAGCAACATTAAGTTTTCTTTAGCATTTAGTCTTTCTCCAGGGGGTAATTTTTCTGGATTAGCTGGGAAAATGCCCTTGCTGGCTAGCAGGAAGGAGAGGAGGTAGTTCTATACATTTTAATGCTTTTACAGCTTCTGTACTAAAAGACATTGG